CATACACATTGAAAAATACCCAAATAGCCAAAGGGAACATAAGTAAAGCCTGCACAAGATCAAATGATGTTGACCTCAAGACACCATTCCCTCCCTTTAGCTGCTTTCCTTTCCTCCACTACCCCCATTAAACAACTCCCACCCAGTCTCCCAATTGATTCCTCTGTCCTTCCAGCACTGCTTCCTGATGAGATGTCCCTGAGGTCCCCTTCTCTGATTGAAGCCAGTGCTTTCTGGTCCCAGACTCCAGCCCTGGATCCAATACTCTATATGGCACTGAAAACATCACCCAAATTCTTTCACTCTTTATATCCATCTCTCCAAGATGCTCATAAATTCATTGACTTCTCAGGATCAGTGAAGATAGGAATAACAACATAATGGATACTAGTGTGTCAAGTGTTTCAACATTTAATTATCATAAAAATAAGGTGTCCAGAATCATTAAAACAATGTAAAAGATAAAGTGCCTGAGGAGTAAGATGCTAGAAAACAATAACTACTTTCTTACGGAGCAATACCATCAGTTTGGGAAAGGCCATATTTTGAAGCCAAATGTAGAAAGATTTCCCTCCCCCATGGAGGTACAATGTTTTTATTACCTAGAAAATAATTTAGGATTATGAAAACCAAAAAAAAAAAAAAAAAAAAGAAAATGTTTCAGTCTGTTTCATTGTGTTCTATTGTGGTGGTTTGAGAGAAAATGGCCCCAAAGGGAATGGCACTATTAACGGGCATGGCCTTGTTGGAGTAGATGTGGTTTTGTTGGAGTAAGTATGTCGCTGTGGGAGCAGGCTTTAAGGCCTTTTTAAACTTCACTCAGTGTGACAGTCAGTTTAACTTCCTGTTGCAGGCAAGATGTAGCAATCCCAACTTCAGCACATCTGCCTGCATGTAGTCATGCTCCCCTTCATGATTATAATGGACTGAACCTCTGAAACTGTAAGTGAGCCACTTTCTTTTTTTTTATTTTATTAGTTCAAATTAGGAACAAGCTTGCTTCCGATGTCAATCCCTTCTCGCTCTCCCTCCCCTCCCCCCACAACATCCCACCTGCCCCTAGCCATCTCCTCTCCACTCCCCAGGCAGGGTAAGGCCCTCAAAAGGGGCTCCCCAAAGTCTACCACATCATCCTGGGCCAGGCCTAGGCCCTTCCCCATGTGTCCAGGTCAAGAGAGCATCCCTTCACAAGGGATGAGAAATATTTTTTTTTTGGTTTTTTGAGACAGGGTTTCTTCTATGTAGCTTTGGGGCCTATCCAGGCACTCGATCTGGAGACCAGGCTGGCCTCGAACTCACAGAGATCCGCCTGTCTCTGCATCCTGAGTGCTGGGATTAAAGGCGTGGGCCACCAATGCCTGGCTGAGCCACTTTCAATTAAATGTGGTATCTCTTCAAGCAATTAAAAACCCTAACTAAGCCAGAAGTTAGTACCAGGAGTGGGGTATAGCTATGCTAGGCCTAGCTATGTGTTTGTTTGGAGAAATTTGGACTTTGGTACTTTGGGTTTGAAAAGCAGTGGAATGCTTTAAGCACTGCTTAATGCAACATGCTAGTAGAAGCATGGAAGACAATGGTGCTGATAATGATTTGAAATGTCAGGAGCTGGATCAAAAAGTTTCAGAGAAGAATTTTTAGTATGTTGCCTAGAAATCACTCTTATGATATTTGGGTGAAGAGAGTGGCTGCCTTTTGCTCTTGTCCCAAAGAGTCTGCCTAAGGCTAAAGTGAAGGGATTTGGATTAACTCCCATGGCAGAAGAAATCCCAAAACAACCTAGTATAGACTCTGTTTTGTGGTTATTAGTGGTAACTCTAATGAAGATTTATAATGAAAAAGAGCAGGATTAGCAGGATAAATTACAAAATGTAAATTTTGAAGAGAAAATGAGTACTAGGAAGCAGAATGGACCTAAATCCTATGTTCAAGGAGATAAACAGAATAAGAAATGAAATAAAGGGAGTGGTGACTGCAGGGAAAGATCCCATCTAGCTAAATTTCCAATTTGTGAAATGGAATTAAAGAAAAGTTTAGAGCCGGCTGTGTTGGTGCACACCTCTAATCCCAGCACTGAGAAGGCAGAAGCTGGTGGATCTTTGAGTTTGAGGCCAGCCTGGTTTAAAAAAGGAGTTCAAGGACAGCCAAGCTTAGGCAGTAAAGGACAGAAAGTTGGTGATGATGTAATTGAACAAGGGGGCTATGTTGCATCCCAGTAAGCAGCAGAACTAGACAGCTTCAGCCATGTGGTTCTGGATTTAGAGTTGATAGGAAAAAAGGAGTTACAGAATAAAGCTGCTAAGACCAGGCATGTGTCAGTGGTGTTCCTGAATGGAAGCTTAGTAGAGAGGCCATTGTGTGAAGCTGTGAAGTTGCAGCCTGGATTGCCTTGGAGAACCCAAGATGTTAGCGATGCCAGGTTGTGGGATATCTGCAGAGTAGCACTGCTAACAGCCCAAGAGAAAGAAGTGTGTTGCAGTCAACAAATCTGAACGGAGTTAGAATCCTGAAGAGCATTTTGACATGAGATGTGGAAATTCAGAGTTTGGAGTTTGCCCAGCTGGTTTTTGGTCTTGCTTCAGTCCAGTATTTCCTTGCTATGTTCCTTTTCCTGCATTTGGGGATGGTAATGTATATCCTATCCCATTATATGTTAGAAATTTGTGATCTGATTTTTGATTTTGACTTTTACAGGGGGATTACAGCTAAGAGATCGCCATGCATGTCTCAGAAGAGACTTTGGACTTTGAAACACGTTTGATACTGTTATAGACTATGGGAACTTTTGAAGTTGGATTGAATGCATTTTTGCATTATGATGTGGCTATAAGCCTTTGGGGGCCAGGGAGTGGTATGTGGTGGTGAAAGAAAATGGCCCCCAAAGGGAATGGCACTATTAGAAAGTGTGGCTTTGTTGGAGTAGTTGTGTCACTGTGGGTCCCATTTCTCAAGTTTCACTCAGTGTGACAGTCAGTCAACTTCCTGTTGCCTGCGAGATGTAGCACTTCCAGCTCCAGCACCATGTCTGCCTGCACACTGCCCCTTCATAATCACTATCGACTAATTCTCTGAATCTCTAAGCAAGCCACCCTCAATTAACTGTTCTCTTTATAAGAGTTGCCATGGTCTCTTCACAGCAATGAAATCCCTAACTAAAACATTTATGATCCTCAATTCACCGAGATGTTTTGAAAGTTCTCCAAATATATGTATATTACCAAAGATTTTTAAAAGAGAATTAAGCCGTAATTTGTTTCTCAAGCTGGGCAGTGGTAGCGCATGCCTTTAGTCCCAGTACTCTGAAGGCAGAGGCAGGCGGATCTCTGTGAGTTTGAGACCAGCCTGGTCTACAAGTGCAAGTGCCAGGACAGCCTCCAAAGTCATAGAGAAACCCTGTCTTGAAAAAAAAAACTTGTTTCTCAAATTAAGCAGGCTGAGTATTTTATAACTTCCACACTTCCATTTTTGACATGCAATAAATGGTATGAAAGACTTGTTCTTTCAGTGCTTTTTTTTAACTATTGATACCTAATGGATACAAACAGAATGTGAGGTGACTTTCTTCCAGACTAACTCTGAGATATGATAAATATTATTTTCATCCAAGGGTAAAGTTAATATCAAGCCTCTTCAAAAGCATCAAATCACTCCTGGGCACATAGGAAAAACATGAGTAGAAATAATATTCAATTTAATCAGCAAAAGTAACACCGTCTTGATGACTGAAATACAGTTTTAAATTCAGGCTTTATTGTACCTGGAAACATTCTTATAAAATAGCCAGTCACAAAGCTAGCACTATTTATAGATAGGCCACATGTCAAATCACAATTTCAGCACAAAGAGTTAGACCTAAGAGCCACGGTTATTAAAAGCATTTCAAGATTACTTTTAAAGAAAGTCCAGTACTGGAGCTGGAGAGATGGCTCAGGGATTAAAAGCCCTAGCTGCTCTTCTAGACAACTGGGTTTGATTCCTAACACCCACATTGGACAGCTCATAGCTATATGTAACTCCAGTTCTAGGGGATGCAACGCCCTCTTCTGGCCTCTTGTGGCACCAGACACACATGCCGATGAAACACCCTTATGCATAAAATGCATGTTTTTTTAAAAAAAATAGGAAGAGAGAAAAAAAGAAAGAAAGAAGGAAAGAGAGAGAAAAAAGAAAGAAAGAAAGAAAGAAAGAAAGAAAGAAAGAAAGAAAGAAAGAAAGGAGAAAGAAAGAAAGAAAGAAAGAAAGAAAGAAAGAAAGAAAGAAAGAGGGAGGGAGGAAAGGAGGGAGGGAAGGAGGGGAAAAGAAAGGAAGAAAGAAAGAAAGAAAGAAAGAAAGAAAGAAAGAAAGAAAGAAAGAGAGAGAGAGAGAGAGAAAGAAAATTCAGTGAATTGTGAAAACAGGGCTTTTCTTTGAAGAAGAAAAAATGTCTTCTGAACTATTTATGGGAAAGGAAATAGCAGTAGTCGTGATTAGAAAGGGCTGTAATGAAAAATATGTATCTCAAAACACTAGAATAAAAAAGAATTATTGCCATTGCTCATCAGTAACTTACTGCCAATATACAGTCCAATGCATAATAAATTATAGAGTCATACATATATGCACTTAATTTGCCAAAACAGTCATAAAGTTTAATGAAGTTGACTCTCAGCAGGCAGATTTATGTCTATCCATTTAATATGAGTGAAGAAAATAAAAAATATTTAACAACAAACATGATGCATTCACCATTAGAACATGTCTGCTAATTGTAAAATACTTAATTTGGTGACTTATTTCCATTTGTTTTACGATGTCCACTCAGCTTTCTGACACTTCCTGTATTTGGAATCTGCACTAAATCTTGAGATAGGCCTGGCAAACTCAGGCTCATATATAGCCAAGGAATTAATCAAAAGTTGGTACTTTCTGGCACCACCAGGTTTAATTGCTTGGACTTGGGTTAGTTAATAGGCATAAGGCCAGTGAAACCTGCCAAAAAAAAATACAGTAAATTTAGCACTTACTGCCTTGAGGTCTTCATTAACATGAGTATCATTCATTATAAACTCTGGATAGCCAACTTTTGCCAAAACAGCTCTTGCCTATAAAAAGAAAAATGAGAAATATGATGTCATTTAAATCATTAATAATCACTGGATATAGGACTTCAGTCTTCATCTGAAAACTCTATTGACTTAATGTCTTCAATATGCAAGCCACTGTAAATGATAAAACAAAAAGACTTACCACCTATCCTCAATGTGCTACAAATGTAGTGAATGTAGCACACAGAATAACAGACTGTGAGTATAGCTAATAGTCGTGAATGTCTGAAACACATTTTCAAAATCTAAATGACGCAATAGCAAGAAAACACGTTCTATAAAGAACCTGTAAAATGGTTTCTCATACATCCATGTGCAGCAGGATTTAAAAGGGAATCTTTTAACATCACCAATTATAAAAGAAATGCAAATTAAAAGCACAATAAAATAGTATCCAGCATGAGGTAAGCTGGCCATTACAAAGAAGGGTTGGTGGGTATTGGGAAGCTCCGCCCACCCCAACTCCTCCCATTCCAGACCCTGCTCTGAAGAAAGTCCACCATCTGCAGCTCCATGCCCAGAGGGTATTTAAAGCCCCCTCCTCATGGTTTTCTCTTCTTCCCCTGGGGCCACCCAGGGATGCTTTCTCAGATTAAACCTGGAGTTATTAATTCAGCCTGATCTGGTTTGTTACATCAGTGGAAAGACATCAGGGTACAGAAACTTTTCAGTGGGGATCTGAAGAACTAAAGAACACTTACCAGCAACTGTGCAAAACAGACTGCTCAAAAACTAAAACCAGAATTACAGTGAGATCCAGCTATTCCTCTGCTGTGTAAAGCCATAGATAATAGGTACCGCCCCCTCCAAATGAAATCAGTATATCAAAGAGCCATCTGGACTCCCATGCTCATTGCAGCACCATGTGCAGTGGCCAAGAAACATAAAGTGTCGTATACATAAACACATACAACAATGGGATAATATTCAGGTACAAAGGGGTGATAAAATCAGAGATCATTGTGGGAACTGGAATAAACTAGACACAGAAAGACAAGTACTAGTGAAAGAATAAAAGGAGCATGTGATAAAGCAGACCTATGAAATGATCTGAGACCTGCTGCAATGCTCAGAGGCTAGTGTTTGTAGAAAAATCCAAGCCCACATTGATCCATATGGTCAGTTGAGTGTGTAGATTTGTAATGTTTTCCCCACAAAAAGTGATAAATATATGTTAATGCATATGCCAATTAATTTCTATTAGCCATTCTACACTGCATACATATGTCAAAAATCCCGGTGTACTTCATGAATATGTAAAAAGTTACCCTACAGTAAATTAATATGAAAAACAGATATATAGGAAATTCATGGATTATTCATAGAAACTCCCCAATGCATGCTAACACGCCTTTGTTGTTGTTGTTGTTACTCGGATAAGTGAGGGTTAAATATTTCCAAGGGGAGTGAAAAGAGATGAGTCATGCATCAGGTTGATTATCCATGCAGCTCTGTGAGTGATGGCCAGAACAACAGAAAGGTCAGAGGCAGGGGGTCCAGAATAATTTAAGATGCATCACATCATAGTCATCTACTTGATAGACAGAGGTACTAATGATTACCTTCTTTGTTTTGCAGCATGCAGGGAATAGATAAAAGGAAAATCAGTGTGAGTGCCAGTCTAGAGCAACAACTGGCAAACTGTGGCCTAAGGACCAATTTCAGGCCTCTTTTTCTACCTGTTTTCGTAAATAAAATTATGCTGGAACACAGCCACACTCACTCATTTACCTATTATCTATAATTGCCTCTGCTACAACTTCTGAGCTGAGTCATTGAAACGAAGACTCTAGGGCTAACAAAGTCTCCAATATTTTATCTGGGCCTTTGGAAGAAAGTTTGTCAGCCCTAGCCCTAGAGAAATTTTGCAGTCCCCCCACCATGTCCCTAGATTCTGGGTTTCACAAAATAAATGCAACTCACAATAGTGTTGCAAGTACATTGCCTAGGCTCCATCCACAGTCCCTGGGATGCCTTTTATCACTTGTATATAAGTAGCCCTCCCCAAAGTCTTTTGTTTATAACTATTTTTAATTGAAATAGAATTACATGATTTTTCTCCCTCTCTTTCTTCCCTCCAGCCCCTCCCTGCATCCCTCCCCTCATGTCCTCAAATTGGTAGCTTCTTTTTCATTAGTATTGGTATCATTGTTGTTGTTACACACAGACTCACAGACAAATCCAGATGAGTCATTTTTGGTGGTAGTATATATGTGGCTTTGTTGTGCCCAAACTCTGAACCCCCAAATCACCAAGAGACCCAATCCGATGCAAAAGCAAAGCATCTTTAATTTCATGAGTTAAATAGGTTCTCCAGTCCATCAGACACAGACAAAGCAGGTGGGATCTGGAGCAGCAGTGGGTCAGGGAATATATTGGGGTAGAGCATGGGGAGTGTCTGGGGGGTCTGCAAGTTGCATAGCAACAGTCTCAGGATTGGTGCCCCTCCGGGCTTGGGCAACCTGTCCTGTGTTGATTGGTCAACCGCAGCTGCAGGAAGGTTGCTATGCCTAGAGGTCCTCCCAGGGCAGTTGCTATGCTCTGCACTCCACTGTTATCAGGAAAGCACATCCAGAGCCCACCAGCTAACTTCTGATTAGTTCCTTGCCACATGGAGGGTATCTGGCTTTCTAGTGACCAGGGCAAGGTCAGGAGTTTAGCATATGTTGCTGAGTCAGGGGCCTTTGTCTTGCTGGTTCTTTACTGCAGCCTGTCATGGCTGCCAAAGCAGGGGCATGGGTAGGGGTCTTGGCTCTTCAGTTTCAACGATGACCACTTTTTTGTGGACAACTAATAATGGGGTTTATCACTTGGAGAGGCTATTTCTTCCCCCAGCAGTCATTAGTTGTCAGTAGATCTTTCTCTAGGGGTGGGACCCTGCAATTTTTTCCCTCCAAATTAACATGTCCATTGATATTACCATTGTTCTGGTCTTCTTTCCACATCCATTACTAGAGTCTTGTCTTCTCTAATTGCCAGCCCCAGAAAATCTGAAGGCCTACATATAACCACAGCTCCTTCTGAGCTGTTGTTCAGCCTTTTGTCATTCTGACCTCTCCCTCCTTACAGGCAACTCTTAGCCAATGACTGACTGTGGCAGGATCATGAAAGCCCAGCATCTTCACTTCAATTCAGGACAAGCTCAGAAGTATAATTTACACTAGCAGTGTTCCTCATGGGATGAGACTACTTCCGAAATGTCTTGTGAATTTGTATGTTCTCCTCAGATCTTCTCTTAGTCTAGTTTCTCCCAGTCTACTGCTGCTTTCACTTGCAAGTATTTGCTAAATAAATCATTTGCATGTGAATCTGGATTTCCAGGTGTACCTTCAGATGAGCCAACAAAAGACCCAGGCAGCCCCATCCCCATTAGCTGTATTCCTGCAAAGCCTCAATGCAAAACCAGTGACATCCCCCCCCACACACACACACACAAATGCTCTGGCTAACGACATTTCTTCTATAGTCCCTTCCAAATCACCTCACTCAAGAAATAATTAAAGCTAGATAGTACATCTCCCTTATCTTCTTTAAGATAATGTAAATGTTAAATATCTTCGGAAACCTTCCAACTCAAGATATAGGATTTTAGAAGTGCTGCAGGACACAGCCTTAATAGGTTTTGCTGTTCCAGGGACTCACATATAGCACAGATCAAATTCTGCCTTCAAAAACCTATAAGCTACACTAAAAGTTTAAGATGATAACAGGATGCTACAACTCTCCCACGGCCACAAAACAATAAATATGTCACAGGTCGACAGGCTACCTCTTTTCTGAAACTGCTTACTTTCCTAGTTGTGGCTAATTTTTTCAGTATAATTTAGTGACTCACCACAAGTCATATGCATCATTTTAGCAAATAAAGAATTGTAGATAGTTCTTTTCAGCATACACACCCCAAAAATATACAAGACAAGCTGAGTCATGCACAATTGTTTTCTGAACACTAGCTTTCCTAAAGTGTATCAGTGAATTATGCATTCTGTTTCAAACCTCACGCTCTGGGACCTCACTGAACCTCAGAGTTTCATAGAATACATTAGCTCCTGTACTGTATATGTATAGCACTATGTCCTTCCTTGTTTATTTAGCATCACCACAACTCAAAGAAAATCAGAAAAGAAATGCAAGAAATACAGATTTCCCTACCAGGAATACACAAATCAAATCAGGTAATGATTCTAATAGCAGACTGCTAACAGCTCAGTAGAATACTCTTTTTTTTCAAAAAAATGTATATGGATATTTGTATTCTGGGTCAAATGTTCCGTCTTCCAGAGCTTATTAATTCCTCACCATTCCAACCCATCCCATTTTTCCCTGAGAAGCTTCAGGCTCTAGATCTAGGGCATGACTCTAGATCAGACTGTCACAAGAAATACTCATAGGGCTTTAGAAGGGGGAGGAGATATAGATGTCATTTATTCACTGAAGCAGCATTAGTGAGGCCAATGAGCATCTGCAGACAGTAGATACCACATGCTGCCACCAACTTCCAAGCATTCTCCTGGGAAGAACACTTTGGTGTACAGTCAACAGTGACCACTGGCAGCCTTGGCCTTTACTTCCCAGGCCTGCAATAATGCCACAACCTGTCTAATCACTCATGTTAAACATTTTTCTGGTCGATACACTTAGAAGTGTGTCCACTTCCTGCAGACAGACTAAGGCAAATCTTGACACACAACTTCCCAACATATTCAGAATGAGAGAAAAGATCCACCAATAGTCAGATGATTTGTTGAAGGGCAGAGTGGTAGTTAGGCACATCTGAAATCAATTATCCCACTGGTTACAACAACAACAGGGAAAAGCAAGTCACCATATAAATATTGAGGAAATAATGGGATGAATATTTAACAGATGGCATATTACATACAGTGAGAAACATTTTGCAGGCTATTTGAGGCTGATGAAAAGAAAACTCAAGGGTTTTCTATAACTAGTTATTTTATTCCATGCACACATCTGGAGAGAAGCTGCATTTGAGAGCT